GCATTGATTTTCAATTTTTAGAATCAGCCTATAGGCAAAACATATAAAAATTTCAAAATTACAGGGAAGTAAGACTTGGACTCAAAGGGAGAACAGAAAAATGCTTTTGTGAGCTCCATTTTCATGGTTTTAACAGGACTTAAACAATAGAAAGTTGATAAAACATAATAGTATAAGAAATCTTAACTACTGAGGAAATAAAAGTTACAAGTGACTGATGCTAAGGAGCCTGAACTTCAGGTTATGTAACAAGAGGATCACAACTTATTACCCTCTCTACTTTTTTATTTATAGCTCTTGCAGTTATTTCTCTCATACATTTCTAAAATTGATTTTTTAAGTGGAAAGGCTCAAGCCTTTGGCAGTAACTGAGGTGGGAACTGGGAGATTTGAATATCCCACCCTGTTGCCCTGCTGATGAAGAGGAGGAAAGTGCCTGTTGGCCTGTGACAAAACAAAGGAAGTGGATGGGGCTAGTGGGGAAGATGCCAGAGGCTGGATCTGTCTGCACAGTGAAGGGGCCACCAGATCATTTTATGTAGCTTTTTATTATATTCAGTTTACATCAGTTTCACTAAAGAATATGGAAGTTAGACGAGACTTTTTTTCAATTCTGCTTAAGTAAATAAAATTCAGTGTGAAGAGATTTTAGGGAATTTGTTGATTTCCACGTTTAAGGCAGAATGAAACATAAGTAGACAGTCCTGAAATTTGTTTTATTTTATACAATTCTAGTATTTCCATTGCCATATTTTCCCCATTTTTAATTTATTATCTCCAGCATTGTTTGCACATTTTCACTACTGTACTTTGTTATAATTCTTCATTTATACCATCCATGTTCTTTCTTTTCTTACAGATTGTGATATCTTTAGTCTGAATTTTTAACTGGAATCAGAACTGGATGTTGGGTCACTCTTTTATTGTACCGCGTGATTACCTAACTCAAAATTGCCCCCACAAAATTTCAGATTAGCTAATATAATTTTTTAATGTTAAAAAAGATGATGTATAATAGTAAACAATTTATTTTAGCAGCCATGTTGAACACTGTATTTAAGAATTGTAAACTCCTGAAATACTGTATTTATATACACTATTGCAATAGAAATTACTTTGACTTAGTCCTGATAACTGTACAGAATTTGGTTTACTAACAAAGATTGTGAATAAAACTGTGAAACTAGAAAGGAGACTTTCTGGACTTTAATAGAAAAATGTGATTTTAATACTACTATTTCTGTTCTTTCAACATAATTTTTCCCCTTTTTCTTCCCAAATCAATGTAAATAAGCACACACACACACACACACACACACACACACATTGCTTTTACCACAATGGTAATGCTTCTGTAAATGTCTGTGTCCCTTTGGCTAAAAATGTTGTAACCTTTATTAGAAAAATATATATATTTTTTTAAATACTGACTTTTTTCAGTGAACTATCATGTTTAGTGTACAGTACAGAGCTTTAATAGTATAGGTTAAAATTTTCTTATGTATTTGCTTGCCAGGGGTGAAAGAAAGAACATGGCTGCTTCCCCCAGACAGACTAATAACCTTGGCATCCACATAAAGCATCATTGTTTTCAAAAATGAAGGGTGCTTAATTGTTCCCTTTTTTCTGTATTCTGTAGGTCTCATAACAACAAACTGCAGTCTACAGCTTCTTAAAGTTCAGCGTGTTAACCTAACATAAAACACAGCAAGAATCTGGTTGTCTGAACTATTTTAAATTAAGGAGCCAGATGTTTTTAGTCAGGTTATCCTGACAAGACTTGACCTAAACTTCGTTTTTATTGGTCATAATAGTCCAATTATATTCTTGGCCAATTTGTCCAACGGACAAGGGAAAAGCAAAGTCATCGACACCATTATCTTGTCAAGATCAAATGGTTTTACTATTGTGGCAGAAGCGGGAAAACTTTGTTTATTGAAAAAAAAAAAAAGAAAAAAGAAAGCAAGAAAAAAGATAATATGGGGTCAAGTATAACTCCATGGAAATGCCACGTCTGCTCTTCAGTGAAGAAGCTGGTTTAGAGTCTCACAGAAAACTTTTGACTGTATTTATTTATTGTTGCAAAAAAAGACGCTTTTTTATTGCTGCCCTCATTTGTCAGCTAATTATTTTTTCTTATAAAATCCAGCCCCGGTTACATGTAATCCATTCTGTCTCTTATCATGATTCCTGTAGGTAAAAGTACAAGACAGCCTCTAGATGTCTTTTCTTTCTATGAAAGGAGCTGCTATGTACACATGTGCACACACACAACTGGGAATCAACAATGAGTTATTGTTCATGGTAGATAAAAATTAAGCTTGCATAAAGGTCGGGCTAGGTGGTCCTGGACTACAGACTCTGTTGCCTTGAATATAACAGTACAATTTGTCATTTACTCTGCACCAGGCTAAAATGAGTAAAAATCTATTTGAAGGTATCTTGTTTGTAAACATTTGTCAGATTCTAATTTTTTTCTTTTTGTATTAAAATTCAACTATGGATGTATATGAAACAAAATAAATGGAGATAATTTTTCTCCCACAGATGGTGTCTTTGAATGTTCGCTAATGATTATCTGTCAGCCTTTGAGGGGGAAGGGAGGGCTGCAAGACACTTAGAAGGCAAAGGCATCTAATTGTACCTGGCTTTTTCCAGGACAGTAGTGGCCCTTTGTTTTATCATTCCGAGCCCATTGTCAGAGAAGAATCCTCAGGGGTGCTAATACTGTTGCATCAATTGATCATACTAATAGGAAAGGTGATGTGACAAAATACACATTGCCTTCAGCTGTACAGTGTATGATACCAGACAGGTGGTCGGTTACAGACAGCCACTTATTTTATGAAGGCCATTTTTTTTTAAGATGACTTCATTCTTGTATTTTTTTCTTTATTTGGTTTTTTTGTTTTTCACATAAGGAAATAGTATAAGCAATAGAGGAAAATGGAACAATGGAGGAAGATGTATTTTGTGTTTTTCCTTTCATTGTGCTAACCTTACACATTGTGCTACTGCATTGTAATAATATTTCTATAAAATCTGCCAGAGTCGGTTTATGCAGTTTTGCAAAAATTTCACTAAATTTTGCACTACTTCATATTAGCTTTGTCCTACCAAATTCTGGAATTTATCAGATTACTGTTTTTAAAAAATTTCCTTCTGTTTAATATCACCCTGCTATGCAAAACCTCCCAGACCTTAGTTTCTTCAAAGAAAGACAGTTCGCAATTCTTATCATAGGCTCAGGTGTACAGGTTATTCTGGGTTAGTTTTAACTAACGACATCCATAATCCATTCCTTTTTGTTCATAAAAGTTTCACAAATTCATGCTTACAAACTAAAGAGACTAATTGCTCAATATGAAAACAAGGTTTTGACTTAAAATATTAACATGGAAGTAGTTAAATATAGGTTATTCTGTCCTTTTACTTTTTTTAAAAAATGTTACATATTGTATGCCCTGTGCTGATGCCAGAAGCCTACGTTTTAATGAATCTTAACATTACTCTGCATCTCATCCCGTCACAGTATTTCTGTATTATTTATTCACATACAGCTATATATGGGCTTAATCATTTAAAACTTGTTGCAGCAAGAACTTTCCTACTTATAGGCAATAGATTGCTATGTTTTTAACAGATTGTGGCAAATTCTAAACAGCAATTCTTTTTGTACCTGTTAGGACATTCATCCTAGAAAAATAAAGAAATGTTTTTGACAATGAATTTGGTGCAGTTTCTAATGAAACAATGGTTGGTCGGTTGGTATGTTTTCTGTAGCAGTTGGCATTACCACATTGTGCAAAAAAGGTAATTTCATGGAACTCCTCAGACCAGGAAGATGTTCATTTCGTATGTGAACTTATGAAAGTATAAAGCTTTTAATAATTTCTACCCATATAAATAACAAAGTTTTATCAACTATAGAACGTTTCTCTTTCAAAAGTAATCTTTGAGAAATATATATTATTTTTAACATAAGTTTCAAAATAAGTTTCAAAAACTACTTTTCTATGAGTATTCTTGAACAAGCTTTTGCTATTCAATAATATATCAAAGCAATTTTGCCTTCAGTAATGGAAATCGTGGCGTGCACATTTGTAATACTGTTAGGATTTTTCTACCCAGTCTTTGGGCGTGTAAATACATTTACATCAATTTCCTTGGCTAAAGTTATTGTCGATGCTTGTTATCTTCACTTGTCAATCTTGAAACTATTTCATAAAGTATTTTCATAATATGGTAAGCCTTTTTCTCCTATTCAGATCTGCAGGACTTGTGTTTTAGTTAATGTAGGTTAAAAAATGTGAACTTTCAGAAATGTTTTCTAAAGTAAACTGATTGATTACCTTTCTATATTTCAAATGGCCTTGAGCGTTATTTAGAGACACTGAGATAGCTGTTTGTAATCTGCCTTCTTAGAGTCTGCAGATAAAAGGTCTTTCCTACTTCTGTTGGTTTCTATTAGGCAGACTGCCTGCATCTTTGTGTTTCTGATAATAAAGATCCAGCCAGATGGCTTTTTACATTTGCACACTTAGGGACTGAGCTAGACTGAGCCCCAGAACCACTGTAGCCTTCTTTCACGAGGGGCTATTCCCTGTTAGTCTCAGGGGTCTAGTCTTTAAAATGAGAATGAGAATAGTGGTGTCCCATGGGTGAGTAATGTCTTAAAAGTACTTGGGGGGTTGGGGGGGTGACCAGCTGAGAAGTATTTTTAATAATTTGAAATATTCCAAAATATGCTAAGGTACTTCTCGATACTTAAGAATTTCTTTTTAGGGGCCTCCCCAGTTGGTGCAGCGGTTGAGCGCTGGGCTGTGAGGCTGCTCACAGCCTCTGAAGCGCCAGTTCGATCCCCAGCCACTGGCGAGGGTCCCACAAAAGAAAAAAAAAAAAAAACTTTCTTTTTAGAGACCAAAAAGGGGCATTTATTAGAAGCTCACAAAGCACATGTGCCTATTGGGACCAAATTCAACTAAAATATATTTTTTAAATGGCTGAAGTCCTGAAATTGAGGTGATGCACTGTAGGCAGTTTTTAAGTGTTTGCATAGATGTGTATTTGATCAACCTTAAACACTAAGGGCAAGATAAGAATGCCAAATGATACGTTGAAAGGGCATTAAAAAGCTAGTACCAAAAGGAAATGTATGTTTGACAGAACTTTCCCTACTAAAACAAAACTTTTTCTTTTCCTTGGCGCCTAACTTAATTTGAAGGAGGGGTTCTATTGAGTCCCCCTCGAAGGCAACTAAGTCATTGAGGACAGTTACATGTGCACGCAGCCCTGATGCTCAGGAAGTAAAACCTATCTGAGCAAAAGAATTAGTTAACTAGTAGGAAGTCACTAATTACAATTTCTTACAAAATTAAGACTATCTGCAGGGTACTCACTGAAGATTGAAGAGGCCATTCTTGACCTTTTCTGTCTGACCTGAAGTCGCCAGACTTAGCCACTGTCCCCTGTGCACATTCCCAACTCTCTGTCTTTCATGGCTGCCCTGGTCTTGAATGATGGCCTTCATTTGTCAAGACCGTTTCTAAGAGCTGGCCTGCTTATGTTTGTGGGATGTACATACTCTTAACTGTGGGATCCAAACATCACACAGATGGCTTGGTTTAAGCAACCCCTCGGAAACTGTTGTCAAATTCACTTCCTCACCCTCAGGCTTCTGTAGAAGTGATTCTAACCCATAGCTATTAACTCCTTTTTATACTCTAACATCCAACCAATGTATCTTAGCCATTTTTAATCCCGTTACCCAAGATTACCACTTCGCTTTCTGGCATTCAAGAACTCGGCTTTGATTTTTGTGACTTGTGGTATCTTATTTACATCTAAGTTAATTTTTATCTTAACAAGAAACAAAAACCCAGAAGCTCGTCATTTGCTGCAAACTCTTGGCTCCTACCAATAACTTGTGTAATGATGTAGTTGATTCCCCTCAAAGCAATTCCACTGAGATTTTTCTATAAGTTTGTGCAAGACTCATTTTTGGAAACTTATCTAAAATTCCCTCAGTAATGTTTTACCACAGAATAGTCAAAACTTCTTGACTTTTACTTGCCTGTTTGTTGTTAGAGACAAACAAGGGAACAGTATCTCCCATGTCAATCAGCCGTTAAGTCTTCGCAATTGCTACATGCTTCCAGATAGATTTGCTAGCGTCCTGCCTGGTACCTGGGCTTTTGCGGCCACTCAAGTCTGCGTGTGGCCTGCATCGGTTCTCCCTGAGACCAAATAGGTTGTTTTTCTTTATTCAGTGCACTGCCTTTTCTTTTTTTTTCCACACAGTAGTCTTCAACTAGGTAGGGGTTATCAGTGTCTCTGGTCAGTAAAACTAACTTCTGAAAAAAGTTGTTCATGTCAATGGACTCCAGTATCCAATCAATATTATATTCTGCTAGTGATTAAACCTGTTTCAGACCAACTGGAAAGCACTTAAAATTCAGATCCTTGCAAGCTGTCATTGAATATTGGTTCCAGGATTTGGGGAGTAAGTTTGAGAATGGCTTTTTCCCAAACCTTTGTGGCACAATGAGGCTAAAAAAAACCAGGTGCATCCAAGATCTGATTTCAAGTCATGATTTACTTCTTTACAAACACAAACATGATACTTGGTCTTAATAGAAAGATGACATCAGATACACCCAGAAAATGTTCAGCATTGGGACAGCTTCCAGTTCAGCGCACACACACCAAAAAAAAAAAAAAGTAAGTTTTTAGGACAGGAAAGCAAGAAGAAATACTATCTTACATTTTGGTGCAGCAGGAACACTTGTTTGAATATTTTGCTTGAATGAAGTCCATTAAGTGTAAAACTTTAATACTTGTCTTGGGCACTGACCCTAGTGTTTGCTCTAAATGACATTTCATACATGTCTTTGCCTAGTGTACTTAACAATATGTACAGAATTTTAAATGTGATGCTTTGAGTATAAATTTGGTTTGATACGTGATATAGACTATTCAAAGTTGTATATTTTAAATCAAGGAAATGTTTTGTGAACTATTTCTACTGAAGAATGTATTTAAATTAAAATAATTAAAAATAAACAACATGAAGCAGTGATCTGTTAACTGGACAGGTCAGTTATCTGAACCATGTGCATAAGGCACCGCCAGAGCTCAGAAGCACACGATTTAAGAACCATTTGGTAAGGAAGAAGGTGACGTCAAGGTTAGAGATGGCACTAACTATGCAATGAGTTCACAAAGGCGCTGTGTGCCCTATTCTAACGGGAAACCCCATTACGCCATAATAGACCTTCCTTTTTTGTAGCTGAATTCCAAGTCTCCGATGATCCAAAAATGCCAGGACGGCAAGTGTCAAATGCATTGGGTGTGAACTGCACTTTGAACTTGCCCATCCCTTTTTCTGTTAAATCTCTTCACGTAGCTGCTGCTGCTCCTCAGCAGTCCATCTCCCGGTCGAAGGCGGCCTCTCAGGACCTGGAGCAGAGAGGTCGGGAGCTGCCGTCTCTTATGGTAGATGTGCCCCATCACGATGTACCTGCTGCCTGAAAAGTAACGAAATAAAAACCCGCAGAGTTTCACGCATGCCAGGAAACAACAAGATAATACAAGAAAAGTCTGATTATCCTGTTGTACATGTTGGGACTCGGACATTTACGTTGCAGACAACAAGGGAAACAGGCTGGCGACGCTCAGGGGCTCACCAGAGCAGCAGCCAGCAGAAAAGAATAAACGCAGTCTCGGCGTATCCGCAGGATTTTCCACCCCATCTCGCTAGAAAGACGCGGGAGTGGGTGCCCTTCCCTACGCGACCCCCCAAAAAGCCATTTCTAAGCTCAGTTCTGAACAGACCCCCTTATGCTCTTTCCTGTCAACGGTATTCTCGTCCTTCGCCAGCAATCCACAGAGTACCCGTTCTGTGCCCGCCCGTGCCCGTTCTGTGCCCGTCCGTGCCCATGCCGTGCCCGTCCTCGACCCGAGGCGCGGAAGGGGGTGTGGGGCTCAAATCACAGTGACCGAGCCGACGCCTGTCTAAATTCTATTCGCTTTATAACCCCCCCAAAGGCGCTGGGGTGACCGACGCGCGGGCCGCGGCCTCCAGCTCACAGGCGGAGGCACCCGGGACAAAGGGTCGGGCCGCGCCAGTACCGGGTTTCAGCTCCGGGCACGGGCGGCCGCAGGCGGCGGCGTCCAGGGCCAGCAGGTGGACGCGGAGGAAGAAGCCGTCGGGGGCGACGTACAGGCGGCTCATCTTGTACAGCCCGTCCCGGGCCAGCAGCAGCGTCACCAGGCGGACGCCCGCGCCCAGCGTGTCCACGTCGTGCACGATCCCGTTCACGGCTGCTCGAGACACAAAGAGTTCGGACAAACGCGGGACACGCAGTTCCTCCCCCCGCCCCCCCACCCGACGGGGCCCGGGGCCTGCGCTGCGCGTGCCCGGGCGGGGGCGCGGGGGTGGACTGCGGGGGTCCGCGCGAGCGCGCGCGCGCGCCGAGGGCTCGGACGGGCTCGCACGGGCTCGGACGGGCTCGCGGCGGCCGGGTGGGGGAGGGGGAGGGCGGGGCGGGGCTCACCGAACTCGCTGGCGCAGTAGGCCTCGCGCTCGTCCAGGTCCGCCCCGCAGGCGCGCGCGCAGGGCTCGGCGCCGGGGCCCGCGTTCCTCCGCGGAGGCCCGAGGCGCGGCGCGGCGGGCGCGGGCCCCGGGGGCGGTGCGGCGGCGCGCGGCCGGTTGGGGTGGGCGGGGCCGGGCGGGGCCTCGGCGGCGCGGGCGCGCGCGGGCGCGCGCGCGGCGGGAAAGCGCAGGGCCCGGGCGCGCGCGCGGCGCGGGGCGTCCTCCGGCGCGGGCGCGCGGCGCGGGGACGGGCGGTTCTCGGCCTGCGCGAGGCGCGGGCTCGGCGGGCCGGCGGGCGCGCGCGCGGCCTCCCGGAAGCCGGCGCGGTTCTCGGCGGGCGGCGGGGGCTTCCGGGGCGGCGGGTCGGGCCAGGGGCCGGGGGCGGCATCGGCCGCTCTCGGGCGCCGCGGGGCCTGGGGGACGGGCTGCGCGCCGGGCCCCCGCGTCTCCGCTGCGCTCGGGCCGCCGCCGGGGCCGGGCTTCCTGCTGTGGGGCGGCGAGGCTGTGGGGACAAGAGGGGAGACCGGGAGGCCGTCAGGGGGGCGCTGAGCTGAGGGAAGACGCGAGGCCCCGGGGCCGGGGGGCGGGAGAAGCGGGGGGGGGCGCAGAGAGGCCGGAGGGGAAGGGGCGTCTGCGGGGAGGCGACTGGGGTGGGGCCGGGGGAGGCCGGCGTGGGCGGGAGACCCCGGGGGTGCGGGGAAGCGCCTCGGGCCAGAGCGGCCCAAGGGGCTGGCGAGGAGGAGGCTCTGGGAAGGGGGCGGCCCTGGGGCGCCTGGACTGCACCTGCGAGGGGCGAGGGGGAGGCGGGACGCCCGGAATTGGAGGGCGAGGAACGGGCGTTAGCGAGGAGGGCGCCCCTGTCGGGGGGGGGGGGGCGCCACGCCGCCTCAGCTTCCAGAAGGCCGAGCCCCGGCCCTGTTTCCTTCTGCCGCAAAGGAAGAGGGGGCTGAGGGGCTCGCCCCCCAAGAACGAGGCCAGCTGAGACCCTTTTTTCTCAGCACGTGAGAGTCAGGGGCCCGATGGGAACGTCTCGTTGTGCTCAGGGCTCTTCTCAGACGAGCGGCTCAGACCAGCCCAACAGCCTGTTTGTTCTAGGACTAAACATCTCTGACAACTTTGCTTCAATAACAAACTCTTTTTGCCCTTTCTTTAATATATATATAAACATCCGCCTTTTTGCTATTTACAGTTTGTTGAGAAAGTACCCAGAGCAAACCCCGGCGGGGGGGGGGGGGGAGGTCTCGTGTTACAGGTTGTCCTAATTGTTCCAGCGCCCCTGACAACAGAACTATTTGGTTTTCCCATCCGTGTTTACACTGTCATCTGGGTCTGCAGAATCAAGCACTTGGGAGTGGATTTTTATCTGGCTTCTTGGACACCACTTACTGGTAAACCCCAGCTAAGAAGGATTTTTAAAGCCTGCCTGGCAGGCGGAGGCCCCTGGTTGACTATAAAAGCCCACACATCCCCTTCCATTTTTTTTCTCCTCCTCTGATGGTGGGAGAAGCAGCTCCTACAAGGCAGGGCACGAAAGATCATCTGTAAAATTATTCATGATCTTCCCCAGCTTTGCACACAGGTTGGGGAGCGCACTTCAGCCAGACTGGCAGCTGGGCAGCTTTCCATGCCCAGTTACACAATCTCGTCTTGCCATTTGCCCGGGTCCAGAGCCCTCCAAGCGGGCACGGGCACCGGCCTCTTCTTACTCTCTTGCTGCCGTTTTAACGGCTGCGTTTCGGCATTTTCTCTCCTCTTGGGCTGCAGAGCTCGGTCCGCCCATCGGCGACTTTTGCCACACTTCATTGAAGGCGATTTATCTTGCCAAATGGACAATCCTCTTCAACATCAGCTTTCACCCAACAATAATAGCTGGTTACAGTCCGTGTTTTTGCAGAGGTTGATTCTGACTCATTCTGCTCAACGTCGTCCCATCCACAGCTGAATAAAGTCCTGGTGGAGATCCAATTCCTGACTCTCAACTGCTGACCTCCCAACTGCTTCCCCATAGATAGCACCATCTGTTGTCATGGGAAAGATTGCCTGATATTTGGGTTAAATGCCACTGAAGTCATTCAATTTCCTTGTGGAAAAATAACCCAAAGTCAATCGCACCGCGAGGTGCGGAAGCTGTTTTTCCCAGAGATAGTGAACCAAACACCCAAGCCCAAGGCAAACAAAACCACCTTCCCGCAGAGCAGCCCTGGTTTCTCGCTCCCGCGGTCGCTTCTCTCCCCGCCAGGCAGGACACCCGGTGGTTAAAGACTCAGGTGCCCCGAGGCATTTGCTGGGGCTGCAGGGCGAGGGGGGAAGGTCCGAGCCCGGCTCCCCGCCCTCCGCCCCGGCCGCGCTCCCGGCGCTCGGGTCCCCGGGGACCCCGCGAGCCGCCGCCCGGCTCCCGAAAGGCGCCCCGACCCCTTCTGACACTTTCCCTCGGCGGCGCCGGGGCCGCTGCTTAACATGCAAAGTTTCCTCCAGCCCGCCCGGCTCGCCCGAGAGCCTTCCAGTGGCGGGGCTGGCTCCTCTCCGAAAAGGCTGCCAAGACACACAAAATCTTGGGGACGCATTTTGCTCCTCTCGAGCAGAACATCCGCGCAGACCGGGGAGCTCCTCGGGGCGCGCGCTGACCCCGGCTCGGCCCCCCGGATCGCGCCTCCCCCGCGCCCCGGCCCCGCGCCCCGCGCCCCGCGCCCCCAGCCTACCTTTCCTCTCCGCCCCCGGGGCCTCGGGAGCGGATCCCACGAGGAGACAGAGCAGCCAGAGAGCTCGAGCTGTCATTCTCGTAGACACGCTCCCAGACTCTGAACCCCAGCCTGGGCTCGGGCGCTTTCTCTCCCCCACCCTCCCCACACCCCCACCCCCGCTCATGCTAATGAGGGGCAGCCTCGGGGAAACGAGCATCCCTCACCAGCAGACCAGGCAACAGCCCCGAGCCGCGAGGGCTGCTCCCCGCCTCGGGGGGCGCGCACGTGGCCCCTCGCCGCGGTCCCGGGGCGCGCCTGTCCCGGGAGAGCCGCGAACCCGGCGCTGGGAACCTGCGCGGGGCGCGGGCTGGGCCGGGAGGGGGCCTTTCGGGGGTGGCGGGTCGAGAGTGAGGGTGTCGGGGGGCCGGGGGAGAGGGTAGGGAGGCAGGAGGGATGGATTTGTGGAGATCAAGTTAACAGCAAGTAGATGAACGAGCGCTCGAGCCGCCCGGGCGCGTGAATCAGGGGATTCCAGGGGACAGAATTCACCCGGGGGCGCTGCAGGCAGCTTCTGGAGAGCTCCAGTCGCTACAGCCTAAGTTTGTTTAAACTATTTTACTGTATATACAATATACTCGAGAACAAGAAGGGGGAGGAAGCCTCCAGCCAAAAGAGCTTTTCTTCGCCCTTCCTTACCCTCCCCCAGCCCAGCCCCCTGTGAATTCAGTATCTGTCAAGAGTTGAATTCATCCACCAAGCCCCTGCAAAGTGCCTTTTACCTGCCAGGTGTCAGGTGCTTGGGGGCAAAGATGACTTAGCACCTTCCCAGATCTCCAGTGATAGCTCATCTAAAGGAAGATGGAAGTTTTTTTTTCTTTCTAAGAAAAATAAACTCATTCCCTGCTTGGTTCTGATTTTTTTTTTTAAAGATTTATTTATTTATGCATACAAGAGCTGGGGTACAGGCCAGAGATGAGGGGGGTGAGAGGATTCACCAGAGACAGAGCTGGGAGCAGAACAGGCAGATTGAAATACACACACTGCTGAGGGGAGCAGCGGGCGAGACAGGAGAGGTCTGCCAGGCCATGTGGGTTGCTCCCTGGCCGGCCGGGTGTTGAACTCGTGCTGCAGAGGCTGCAGGTCTGCTTCATAGTGTGGTGCTTAACCTTTTGCGCCACCAGGGAGGCCCGGTTCTGATTTCTTGAAACTGCTCTGTGTCTTCGTCCGAAGCTGAGAGGACCCTCCCTCATAATGAACGGGAACAGCATTCACCAAAGGGGGGATAGAAGTTCACCGAAGTAAACCCACACCCTCATGGACGTGTATCTCATTTCAACAGCTTCAAATCCAAAGGGAAGGGGAAACGCAGAGATGAAGCCATTTTATCCAAAGCGTATGAGCCAAAAGTGAGATGCAGCTGCTGAAAGAAATGACAAATTTTGGCTGCTCTCATATCTTAGGTCTCAGAAATAATAGTGCAAATGGACTGACAAGATTCAGGGCGGGAGGAGGAACTGTGTGCTCAAGAGAGACACCGAAAAGCTTTCGGAACAATAGGGAGAGGGCTGAACTCCATCGTGCTCAAGTTCATTTTGGAGGACAAGCAGCGTAGACACATACAACATCTGTTCTATTTTTGTGAAAGAACCAGAGGTGGACATTATGAAGTGACAAGTTTAATTTCAGTTTAAGAAATATTCTAACAACCAAGATCCCCAAGAAAGTAAATTGCTTTGCAAGATTGTGTCAATGACCTCCGGGCCAGCAGAGGCATCCAAAGAGAACATCATGCAGGAATACTCTAGAACAGCTTCCTGAATGAGGTGTGACGTGGTTTGAGGAATACAATGAGGTAAATATTCTTCATCCAGTCACAGGTTTGGCGATGTGAATATAGGGGTTGCTTTGTTGGATGGTTTAATCCTCAACTCTCCACGACTTGAAATTCAATTTGGTCAATGGACCAGATTCGTAAGACTGACTCATGTGAACCAAACTCATAAAAGATAGATGCATAAACCAGAATGGCATGTACCATTTCCAAGGGAGAGGATTCATGAAAGCTGGCCGAGAGGTCCGACTATTCATCCGAAGCTTGCCTGTTGAACACGAAGTCAACTTGCGGCTGAAAGTGGGCTAATCACTTTCCCAAGTCACAGAACTATTCAGATTTTAGAGGAGCAAATTCTCTGTTTCCTCCAAAAGAGTGACTCTCTCGTGCCGCTGCCATGCTTGTGGACGTCAGAGTCACTGTCTCCGGCCTCTGACCAGGACCAGAGAAACACTGAAATTCATGTTTTTGGGGCCCCGTAGAAAAGCTGTCCTCAGATCCCCTTCTTTCACATGTTCCTGCTTTAAGTCAAGTGGAATAAAATTAATTAGGCTTAAGCTTTCTCAGTTACAACCACATCTCCGACATACCTGCTTGAGATTATACTCAAGTCACCCAGATCCAATTTGGGGTGTTCCCGAAACTCTTCTGTTGCAGGAATGTTGTGAATGCCCTGAAGCCCACACCCTGAAATGTAGAGGCGGAGAGCTGACTGGATCTCCCACAGGCTCATAGACGCTCCTGAACTGGCCAGGATTTGGGGCTGGGTCTTGGGCAGCAGCGGGTTGACAGGCTCAGAAACTGTCCCGATGGAGGAAGGCACAGAGGGCTCGATGCGACAATCTATGGAAGCCAGAATGCCAGTGGGGGAATTTACACGTGAAACGGAGCAGGCAGGTAGGCACGATCACGTTGGCCTGGCTGGCATTCTCGTTCTATAAACAAGTCACATGGAAGCCAAACTATCATCAGGGTGCGTGGTAACATAAGCCAGAGCATGGGGAGTTCGTCATTTCATTGGAATGTTTAATGGCATGGGTTTCCCATGGTCTAGTGTGTCCATCCCCACAATAGGTATATACACCTGTCAGGGGGAAGAATCTAGGAGCCTAACTGCCTTCCTTTCCCTGCCAACTTCTGGTGTTTTCAGTGTTCTGCTTAGCAAATATTTATTGAGTATCTACTATGTGTTTTATAATAAAGAATTTGTGCAAGGTTTCTGGCAAAAACCCTTGGAATTGCTCGTCACAGAAGTACCCTGGTTTTTCATGAGCTTCGCAGCTGAACCTGAGTTTATGTGAATGAGAAGACTCCTGGATAGCTTCAGGGTGGGAACTGTGACCAGAAAGATCTCCAGTGTATTAGGGTCAAGACTTTGAGCTAGACCCACCTCCAAGGACGGGAAAGAGACTGGAGATTTTTTTCAATGATGGGGACCTTTTAAGCCAGCTGACCCACACGCTGCAGCAGACCTCTCCTGCCTCGCCCGCTGCTCCCCTCAGCAGTGTATTTCAGTAGATCTGCCTGTTCTGTCAGTATGTCTACCTGTTCTGTTTCAGTATATCTACCTCCCCACTGTCTCTGGTGAGTCCTCTCCCTCACACACACCCCAGTTCTTGTATGCATCAATAAATCTTTTTTTGAAAAAAGGTGTCCATGAAGCCCTCCTGGAAACTCAGTGGCGCCTCCTGGTGGTGGTCATGCTGATCTGCTGGAAGAGAGAGGTGTCAGTCCTAGGCCAGAGGTCAGGGAAGCTGCACTTTGGGGACCCTCCCAGGTCTCCCCGTGTCTCGCCATTTGCTGGTCCAAATCTGTATCCTCTGAAAGAACACTGTGGCTGTAAGTATAACATTTTCCTGAGTTTCCTGAGTTGTGGAGAATGATCCACCTTGAGCAGGACCCAGATTTATAACCAGCTGGCCCGAAATCTTGTCACTAGCCAGCCTCGCCCCTGTACCTAGTGGGGACTAAGAACTCCAAGTGGTTGGAATGAGAACAGAATTGTGTTCCTGCAGTGGCATCAAAATGCCGTATGTCAGGTCATGTTGGGAAAGCCAGAAATGCCAGTGTAGGGTAAGGAAAAAGTATCAGGCTTTTCTGCCCTCCCGCCATTAGGACAGATGAGGGAACCCTGTGGTCCTGAATGCATGCCTGATGGCGGGCACCTGCCGTGGGTACACCTGGGCTGAGAGACTGAGTTTATAAGGGCGGCGTCGCGGGGACGCCAGCAGAAGTCAAGAACAAGCAGAAGCCGAGAGAAGAAGAGGAGAAGCAGAGAGAAGGCCGGAGAGCCCAGATGGAGTGAGGATGTGCTGGGGGCTGGAAGGCCTGCCAGCCTCCCGGCCCCCCAGCACCCCTGCCTGCCGTGTGCCTGGTAAATCCCAATAAAAGACCTGCAAAAGCCACTGAGGACTCTGACTCCTCCTTTACCTGGTCTGCTGGGTCAGAAAACCTGCTCAGTGCCCTGTTCCTGTCTTTACAGCCAGCTACAGTGAGTCTCCAAAAAAGAGCACACTGCAATTGCTTTGATTACTATTAGATGAGTTACAGTTGCATTCTATCGATAGTTCTATTTCAGGGACACCTTTTTTAAAAAAAAAATTTATTGATACATACAAGAACTGGGGTTCAGACCAGAGGTGTGGGGAGGGGGTGAGAGGATTCACCAGAGACAGAGTGGGGAACAGAACAGGTGGATCTTCTGAAATGCACTGCTGAGGGGAGCAGCGGGCGAGACAGGAGAGGTCTGCTGAGCCATGTGGGTCAGCTGGCAAAGGATCAAACTCGTGGCTGTGCTACGTCGTACCGCTCGCTCGTGCTGGCTGCAGTGGCTGGCGATAGCTGGATAGTGCTGAGACTTTAAGCCCTGCGCCACCAGGGAGGCCCATCACATTAGACCTGGTGTTCACATAACAAGACAGAAGCAGCTCTGCCCCCTCCTTATACATTGTATGGAAAAGTTTGCACCCAACTTTTGTACAATATAAATTGTTAAAATGGCACTGCCAGCTTTGTCCATCTGAAGTTACTTAAGGACATAATATTGTTAGGGGGAAAAGGCAGTCCCAAAGCAAATTCCATACAGGCTTTGTGGACTCCACCCCCACCCCAGGTCAAAGCCAAAGACACTGGGAACTCCAAATCCCATCACCACCAAAGGGAAGGTGGCTGGGACCTGAGGGTGGGGTTAAGCAGCCAGGTGGATACAAAAGGCAGACACGTGGGCTTTGGGGGCTCTCTCTCCATTTTGGGGCCCTCGGCCAGCTTGCGGCGTCTG